AGGCAAGTCTACTACTACTTCTCGGCCTTCTTTAAAAGCCTTATACCATTCGTAAACCCTTGTTTTCGATATACACGATTCGCCGTAGGTATTTCGCAACATTTTTAGTGATTCACCACATGAAATATCATTCGAAACACAAAATTTAAGGCACACTCTTTGTTCAACAATATTTTCCATTGTAAAAATCGCTGAGAACTCAAAACTATGACCAACAAAAAGTGTAGTTTAAAACAAATTAAATGACAGATCCCGCTCAAACTTTGCGCGCTAAATCAGTACAGTGCTACCAACATGCAGTAAAAAAATTAGAACGACCTCTTTTACGCGGGTCTTTTTATTGACATATTCCCGATACTTTTTACACAGAGTTGTATTTTATCAGTACTCCTCGTAATAATTTATTTTTCTCTACAAAGATACTAACTAATTACTACTTTACAAAACTAGTTGCGTTCCGCAGCTTCATCTGACTCGTCGTGATGGAAACAAAGACTTGTGCTGGTAGGTACCTACCTAACTTTACTATATTTTATCTATGTAGCAGTATCTCAGGTATTCCGCTTAAAACATTTGATAGAGGGTTGAACAGACTAAATAAAGCAGATTAAAATTATACGTTGGTTCTGTTTATTCAACCGCCTCGTTACAGATGTGCAACAGACAAATATTTACTACATTTATTATTGGGTTTATTAATTTTTTTTTTGTTGAATTAAATGATATGTATAATGAATTCTCATCATTTATTTATTTATTTTGCATAATGTGTGTTTTACAGTTGTTATAAAAAAATATAGTACAACTCATTAACCATTTCTGGTGTACAAAACAATTGAATTTTACTTACCTTACATATAAATCAATTAAAAATCGTGATGAGAGCTATCACGAGGTTATTAGATTTCAATTCTACTTAAAGCGTCATACAATCTCTCCCAATATTTCAAAATAATATCGGGTAATATCATGTTGCTGAGTAAACACCAAAAGCGTGCAACTGATTCCGTGTACGTGACACTCCTAAACGGGCGTACCGGTACGCAAGCGCAGCCGACCGGTACTACCGCAGATTTCGCGGGCAGGGGGGGACTCCGCTCTCCTTCATACCGTGCCCCATCATTGCTCCATCTAGACTCACTATTAGTATTTATTACACTATGGTAGAAATATTGCCTGTGTCATTCGAGTCCTCTTTATTTTAAACAAGTTGTCCTCTTAGTTGCAACTGTCTACGGGCAGTAGTAGTCTCTTATAATTAGCTGATTCGTAATTAATTTGCTATAAAATAACTTTGAAACACGAAAGAGATACTATGAAGTTCATAATTAAAAAAAATCTAATAAAAAAATCTTTCAATATCGGACGAGCATATTTTTATATTTCGATATTATTCTTCTGATACATATGGTTGAGACAAGGCGCTAAATTGTAATCTTCATACTAGTGATTAGAAGCAGTATTATTATTGCAGAAAATCAACGCTGCGCTTGTCTACAGTGGTGAACATAAACTTCCAAGAAATGCTTGCTAGGGAGTATATTTTTGGAAGGGCAGCTGTAAACTTAAAAATAGCGATGATGATGTGTGATTTATAATTCATTTCAACTATTTATAATTATCAACCCAACAAAAATACACTGCTGAATACATGCCTCCCAAACAAGTAGATTACTTCCTTCAAAGAGGATATATGTATTTGCCGTAGTTTTCACACTATGCAGCCGGATTGGATATCGCAATTTTTATTATATTGTGTTATAATTAAGTAGGCGCTGCTGCCCATCGTCTGTTTCATTTATTTCAGTTGCCTCTTGCGACATCCATGGGACAACATCTCTAACGAAAAACGAAATTTAAACGAAACTGTTTAATAGCGTTATTACATTATCATAGATATATGATTCATTATCAAAACTGACAATTCAGTGTGCCATTTGGTTATCATAGAAAATTATCGTGTGGTTTACCGCAACTTATGCCGAGTAATGACCATTTTTAATTGTTGTGTTGTGTACATCAATGGTTTATGCCAATATAAAGTATTTCTTTCTTTCTTCTTTCAATGTGTACAAACTAAACTGTTATTTTTTTCACATATCTATGATCGTTTACCTAGCATCATAATCACCTTCATCATTACAGCCCTTTACAATTCCACAGCTGAACATAAACCCAAATAATGCTAAAAAGCACGGTCCTGAGCCTTCTGCATCCATCGAATTCCCACATGTCTTACTTACCAGGTCGTCGCTCCATCAAGTAGGGGGCCGCCCTATACTTCTCCTACCAGTACGAGGTTGCCACTCGAGAACCTTACTTCTCCATCGGTAGTCAGTTCTTTCAAGCTATATGGCCGACTCATTGCCACTTCAGTTTACTAATCCGTTGGGCTATGTTGGTTTCTCTGATTCTACTGCTAATAACCTGATTGAAGGCAGAATAACCAGCAGTGAAGGACCACATCTCGGAGCCATAAGTCCTCGCTGGCAACACGCACTTGTACAATCTCGTTTTCAAGTTTTGAAGTATACCTAACGAGAAGATGTATCGCAATCTCTCGAACGCTGCCCAGCTGAGTTGAAACCGTCGATTGACCTCTCGGTCGAAATTGGACTTACTTAGTAGGACTATTTGTTCCAGGTAAACATACTCGTCAACAACTTTGAGCTTAATACTCCCAGCAACTACTGGCATAGGTGCGACATGGACGTTACACATGATCTTTATTTTGTCCATGTTCATTTTAAGACCTATCCGTTGTTGGGAGACACTATTGAGGTCATTAAGTGTAGTCCTTACGTCCTCTAGCGATTCTGCCATAAGAACTTTATCGTTGGCAAATCGAAGGTGAGCGATGTGCTTGCCATTGATGTTAATACCGTATCCTTTTCAGTCCAGTAGCTTGAAAACGTCTTCCAATGCAGCGGTGAAGAGTTTCGGGAATATAACGTCACCCTGTCTTACACCTTCCTGCAGTTGGATAAACTTTATACTATGGTTCTGTACTCGCCGTAGCCATCGTAGCCCTACTGTACATACACTTTAATATACCGACAGTCAACTTGGCACTGCAGCACCGCACATATTTCGACGGAATCAAAGGCTTTGCATATGTGGACTATGACATATGCAAGACAATGTGGCAGATCGTACTTTTCGGTCTTCTGTACAATTTGCCAAAGGGTATGTATGTGGTATATAGTGCTTAAAGCCTTTTCGTTAATCGGCTTGTTCGGGAGGCTAGATGTTGTAAAATCTGCATGCGAGACGATTCGTAATGACTCGAAAACAGCACGTAGACGTGGCTCAGAAGGAAAATCGGTCTGTAGTTCTTAAGAGAGCGTTGTCGCCTTTCTTGAAGAACAAGACCACCGCTCTTCTGCTCCACGCTTTCGGAGTAGTGCCCCCGGGAGGGACAGATTTGAAGAGATTCTGAAGGACTTCAATTACTAGTTTTCCACTCACTTTCAGAAGCTCTGCTGTAATTCCATCTTCGCCTGGGGCTTTGCCGTTTTTAAGGTGCTGGAGAGTTATTCTAATCTCGTTAAGACTGATGTCCGGAACATCATCGGAATAGTGTTGGATAAGACTTATCTAATTGTTACTCACACTTACATGTGGCTCCAGCGATGACGGGTACAGCTGCCCAAACAACCTCTCACAATCTTACTCCAAATCTCAGGTGTTCCGGAAGCGATGCTGTCACATTCGGTCTTCAGCTTCGACAGTTGGCTTTTTCTGGTAGACAGATCTCTGGCAAAGACTTTGCAGCCTGATTCTGCTCGATCGCTTCTTCAATACGAGCTGTGTTGAAGTTGCGTAAGTCCCGCCGCATGCATTTGGAGAGCTCTCTGTTCAATAGCCTGTATTCTGTCATATCTGCTGAAGACTGCGGCTTTATTTCTCGTTTAACAGCCATGAGGTTAAAAGTGTGATCGGAGAGTGTTTGGGTTCTCCTGCGACGGGTCCTGCAGAACTTACTGCATGGGCAGTTTTCACGAGCTTGTCATTCATATCGTCAACTGCATTGCAGTCTTCTAGCCATTGAAAACGGTTTTGTAACTCGAGCTGAAAGCTTTCGGGACTCTGGATTAGAGGGCACTAGGGGAACCGGAGCGTTAACTTCATTAGACATGACCACTCCAACTTAACGTTTAGGTTCAGTGTGCCTCTCATGATTCGGTGATCGTTGCCAGTTTTCACCCTCGCAATCACTGAGACATCACTGAACAGTTGCCGATCGGTCGTCATAATGAAGTTCAATCTCATTTTTGTCGTACCGTCGGGGCTCGACCAGGTCCGTTTTCTGTGGGGCCGCTTCTGGAAGAAAGAGTTTAAAGAGTCTCTCTTTCTCTATGAAGCCGGCTGTTTTCTCTAGTTGCCTAGTTTAGCTTTGAAGTAGGTTTTGGAGGATAAATGGCCCTAGACATATCCTTATACATTTCCTCCACCTTCTCATCGGGATGTGCTGAGGTTGGTGCGTAAACCTGTATGACCTTCAGCGAAAACCGTTTGGTGATTCTGAGTATAAGGTACGCAACCCTCGTCGACACAGTCTCAATCTTTACAATGTTGTTAACGGGAGACTTGTGGATGATAAATCCGACACGTCCTTGGGACAAATGGTCGCACTTCCTGTGATAGAACAAGTTGCCTGATTCGGGGATTACCGTATTCTCCCCCTCTTTTCGGACCTCGGATATTCCTATAATATTCCAGCGCAGCTTCTCCATCTCTTCTTCCAGCTACAGGATTTTCTCGTCAGTACTCAGAGTCGAATCGTCTTAGGCGGCAACCGAACCTCCATCGGAGATTCTTAGCACCCCCTGCCCCGCCGTTAACATGGTCGCCAACGTAGCCAGGAATAGCGGGGTCGCCGGGGACTGGGGGCCTTCTCTTAGTAACTCACCATGGGGGATATATTGCCATATCTAGCATAAAACACATTATAGTTATAGCTCATAATAGCTTTATGTAACGGTTGGTTTTGATGTTAGTCTGGGGGCGTGCGCGCCGAGGAGATCCTGCGGCGCGAGGGCTTCACGTACGTGGTGCCGCGCGCCAACGACTACACGCGCATGTTCTCCGCGCCCGCGCGCCGCGCCGCCTCGCCCGCCGGCTCGCCCTGCGACAAGAGGCCGCGCCCCGCCGCGCACACAGTAAGTACTGCACGCAGTAAGTACTGCACACAGTAAGTACTGCACACAGTAAGTACTGCACTGTCACTTCACGTACGTGGTGCCGCGCGTCAACGACTACACGCTACTCTCTGTACTACAATGTTCAGCACGGCTTTAAGCCCTATTGCTCGTCTCTGCTTCGACAACTAGACTACACCATCGACCTCCGGTCTGAGCGTGGGGTGATGTGGTGGAGCTATCGTCGCGCCAAGTGCGAAAAACGTACCTAAGCCTAAATCACGCTATCAAAGTTCCGTAGTACAGCGCTATATATAGTACGTACACCTTTGTACTAACACACGGAGCGTTGGCCGCTCCCAAGGCTGAACACCTTGCCCGATGGCAGATCTCCCCTTTTCCTTCCACGGCCAAAATTCTCTTTGAAGTCAATCAAAATTCACATAAGATATGGACACAAGTGACAAGCAACGACTATTTCAATGAAATCCCTTGTTAATCATGTGCACCTGGATCGGACCAAAATCAGTCGTTAGGTTTTTCTGACAAGATATTCCGGAAAATCAGCTGTTTCACGCACGTGCCTCTGAAAACACGTAACGTAAAACCGTTGGTCCTATGCCTGATCTCTCTCCGGTCGTATGCCGGATTGCTGTTCCATCCCACCACTCTATTAGAATGGGAGAATAAAGAGCCCTGGGCATCTGCACCTAAGCTTGTGCAAACACACCTACTACAAGTGACTACTACTTCACTGTGCGTAGTGCACGTAACTCACCGTACCAATCGCCGAATAAATACACCCAATCGTACACATTACATGCACTTAAATTTATCACCTATAGTTCCGTACGCACATACAGTGGCATGTACCTCTCTTATGTGTTTTTAATTATATTACTATACAAATAAATAAAATTGAAGTGTTTGTTTGTAATGTCAAAATTACAGCTTTTTACTAAATACATATGGAAGTATATATGGAACTTAATAAAGGTAAAATACATTTTTTTACCTTTTTGTCTGTCTGTCTGTTTGTTCCGAATACCTTAGGCTTAATAACTTAGGCTACTTTTATTTTAGGAAAATAATTCGGGTTCAGCGCAGAAAAATTGAACAGCTAGTATTAATATAAAAGAAATGGTAAAGTTAGTTTAAAAGTGGCAGTAAGACCGAAAGGGATACTGATAACTAAACTATACGTACCTACTGTACTTACCAAGTTCTATAAATTTGTTATAAATTAGGTTAGGCTATAATAGTAATGGGTAATGAATCTGATCATGAATACTAAATTTGAAAAACATGCTGAAAGGGCTAATTTATGGTATAACTATAGTATTTCTTTAAATATCACGTACACGAAGCGCGATCAAGGCAGGATGTTTATCTACACAAGATTCTGTCATTTTTTTCTTTAAGTAACATCGATAATATGTTATGGCCCTGAACCACCTGCAAACGTTGGCTTCTTTTATTTTTTTAATAATACTAAAATTGTACTTTTGAATATAATGACCAACATAATGTTCGTGTTTCTCCAGCCCGTGTCACCAGACGAAGAACCGGTGCAACTTCGTGAACGTTCAACGGGCACAGAAGTCGCAGACCGCCTCAGCGCCTCAGACTTTTACACCGTCAGTGAAGACGTCACACCGCAGCCGTTTAAAGGTTAGCTGGTTTTATGCATCCAAACTGTGACTCTTGTAGTGTTATCGTATTATGATTGCGGCACGAATGCGTCAGCTTGATCAGAGAAATATCACGCTGTCAAGAAATTATGCTGAACATATGCCTCTCCCAGGGGCGATATTTACTTGGCAGGTGGGGTGGCAACCGCAGTTTTTTTATTATATTAAATCGTATTGTATGTTAAGTTAGCAAATGTATTTTTGGTTAGTAGTCAGGATCCACAGCAAATAAATGAAAACCTCCGTTCAAAAAAAAAAACGTGAGTCACCCTGGTCTGATTGTATCAGGGTCACGTTTTGTTTACATCTAAATTACGTTAGTTTTAGTTTTTAAACAAAATATGATGCTTTCAATTTATTTGTTGCTTTTACTGTGTGTAATCACTCAACTATAAACAACGATAGCGTTGTATTTATTTTGCTACAGAGTACATGGTTACATTTTATTATACATTGAGATAAATTTTGTAACTATTCTACAAGTATTAAATATAACTGCTTTTTGCAATTGAATATATGTAAGTTTTGGTAAATGAAGAGTTTTTAATGATTGATGAAGCGCTTTTGGTATTACACCAGTTGTAAAGATGACTATAGGTACTATAATGGCATTATGTAAGTTCCACATTCTAATAATTCCACGTATTAAATCAGTGTATTTGGAAAGTTTTTCATTAATTGTAGACTGTAAGTTATGTGAATTGGGTATAGCAATGTCAATAATAAAAGCACATTTATTTACTTTGTCTATTAATGTTATATCTGGTCTGTTATAGTGTATTGTTTTGTCGGTAAGTATAGCTCTGTCAAAATACATTTTGTGGGTGATATTTTCGAGGACTATTTCAGGTTTATATTTATAATTTACTTGAGTTGGCTGGTCAGTTAGTTTCCACTTAAGGGCAAGTTTTTGGTGACTGATATTGGCTACTTGATCATGCCGATACTTATAATCCGTCTGAACAATCGCTTTACAAGCACCAGTGATGTGTTGGATTGTTTCTGAAGCATTTCAACAGCGTAGTCTACATGTGTCGGCATGCAGATTTTTTTTTTATTTTAATGATGTTGTTTTGATAATTACGTGTCTCTATGATTTGATCCTGAATTGCGCACATAAAACCCTCAGTCTCAGGGAACAGCTCACCACGTTGAAGCCATGCGTTCGACGCTAATTTGTCTGCGGTAGGTTGGTTCAAATCTTGGCGATATCTTCCATATCAGAGACTTTTGAGTCCATATGTCAATTTTTGTGTTATTATCTGTAAGTAGGTACCTCATTTTTTTGCAATGTTTTATCATATATATTTGAGCGGTGTCACTTTATGATCATTCGGTACTATGGCATTGTGTAGTCATGATATTGTAGTTTTATGATAAAAGTTATTTCTCAGTGTTGTTATTTATCTGTTATGTAAGTTAACTATGTCTATTATACCTCTTCCTCCTTCATTTCGTGGCAATGTTAGTCTTTGTATGTATGAGTAGTGCTTCATAAGAAATTGATTTATTGTGCGTTGTAGTTGTTTTAGTTCAGTTTTGGATCAATGTATTATGCCAAAAGAATAAGTTAGTATGGGAATTGCAAATGTGTTAATAGCGTTAAATATATTATTAGAATTTAATTGCAAAGTTAATACTAAGCGAAGTCTATATCGGAACTGATCTGTTAATGTATTTTTAATTTCTCTATGGTGTATTTGTATCAACTGATTATATTCTAAATACTTATACACTCCATTCTCTTCTAAAGATTTGATTTGCTGTCCTGTTTGCAATTGATGATTATGTTCCTAATACTCTCCAGCTCTTACCTAATTGATGTTGCACATCAATACCAAATTCCATTCCAATATCTCGTGAAGATGGTTCCGTTTGAAACTAACTGGTCTAATTCATCTTGAGTAGTAGCATATAGCTTATGGTCGTCCATATACAAAAGATGACTAAGTGTTTTTTCTTGTTTGTTAGTATGTAGATGATCTTGTGTTGTATGGTATAGTAACGGGTAACAACCTATATTTTTTGAGTTTAATATTTTTGATAAGGGGTTTGTTGCAAGGCAGAACCAGAGGGGACTAAGTGCATCTCCTTGAAATATTCCCCTCCTTATTGTAATAATGTCTGTTTCTATCATGCCATCTAGTGTGTTAAGTTTAGTTGTCCAATTGGTCATGGCAGTCTGTAAGAATTGTATTATGTTTGGGTGTATTTTATATATTTTTAAATTTTTTAATAACCAAGTGTGCGTGATTGAGCTTTCTTATAATCAATGTACATGCTAAATAAATCTTTTCTTTTTAGTTGTACCTGTTTTAATATTACTGCATCTATTGTGAGTTGTTCTTTGCAACCGTCACTAAATATGTTCATAAATGGTTTCGGTTAAGCAAGATGTAATTATTTTGTACAATGTTTGTAAACATGTGATAGGTCTGTATTTTGCAGGGTTGTCAAGATTGCTAGGATCTTTTGGTGTCATATACGTTATTCCTGAAGTAATGTATTGTGTTATGGTATGTTGGCTTTGTATCAATTTATTTACAAACTTAAACAGAATCGCGTGGACAGTTGTGAACTTCTTATACCAATATTTTATATAGTTTTTTAATAATATAGTTTTTTAATAACTTTTTGGATAGTGTCTAATTTAATGTGTTGAAATTGCATGGCTTTTATCTGTGATGTGTCTGTTTAATTTTTGATCGGATCCGCTTCTGTATTATAATGTTTAGGTTACACCCATATTGTAGACCAATAATTTTGTAATTCTCTAGGTAAGGGTAAACTATTTTCGAAATCTTTCGAATTGCTTATTATATTTGTTACATGGTTTTTTATATTTCGGTAGAAAAGTTTTTCATTTGAACAAAATAGCCTGATTTGAGTTTTTCGTAGCGAGCATGTTTTATATCTTTTTAGCCGACTACCTCAGATGAAGTAAAAGAAGGTAGATATCGCACGTAGAATAAGAAACTGTAACCAATTTTATAACTTTGTGTGAGTCAGAGTAGTGTTGTCACTTTTTTTAAAAAGTCCCTGAAAATTGAGATACGGTACTATAAATATAAGAGTAATATGCGATGCGAATGCGAATGTAAATCTGTCTGTTTTAATAAATTTCAACAATTTGATAATTTAAAAACAGATGATGGACGTAGGAGGCGTCTGTAGATCATTTAAAAGTCTTCTTGATAGATCGTCCAATGAGCATGTAAGCATCGAGAAAAAAATACAACATATGTGATGTAAAACATGTTTATTATAAAAAAATTGCTTAATACTAAAAATAAATCTACTATCGCCATGTTTTCACTTAATCAATTATATAAATCTGTGTCAATGAAATTTTGAGTTTTTAAGTAATGGATAATTTCTTTGAGGGTCGAGTCCCTGTTTTTGAGGCGTCTGACTCTTTATTGATCGCATTGGAAGGCGGAAATATTTTCTGCAATAGAAATAAAACTGTCGAAGAATCTAAATACATAATTATAAACAAGTAGTTAATAACGAAAGATATACTGTATACTGCGAAAATCGCAAACACACATAATTATTATATAACATATACAAGAAGATAAAAGGAACCCCTTACTTATTTGAAGTAGGTTAAAATTACCTTTTTTCTATATCCTGTTCTGGGAACTCGGCGAAGTCCACGTTTTGTGTCGTTCAAGTCAGTCTTATCAAAATGGTCTGAACAAACAACACTAGATGAGGATGGCTACCATTGTAGTTCATTTCGGCTTAGTCTTATAGCAGCTACCCATTCATCTCTTATTAAAATATTCGTTGGAAGCCTAAAATCATAAATAGTTTTTGATAATAAAATAATTCTTAAGTAATCAAGAATTAAAAAAAAACATCAGCGAGTTAAAAAAATTAATATTTACCTTGACTTGAATTTGATGTTACATAATAACACGTAATTAAAAAAATATGTTGACTACATATACTTCTATGACTTAACCTAAAATTAACTCCCCAAATCTTGGACTATTAGAAATAAGAAAAACTGATAACATTCTTCCGTTACGTAATCACGGAATTGTGCTTCAAATAACCTTTAAAATTGTGTTGGAATGACAAAATAAAATATATTTAAATGAGTGCTTATGTGTGAAACGATATTCCTTCAGACGTTTTGTTCACTTTAGTATTGTTTTTGCACCGTTTAATTACAAATGGCGGCATTTTGTAGGCAAATTCACGGCACGACGCCCCGAGAGGTACTGACGAAAATGAGCGTAGTTTGATGCATGTGTGTGCGTGAACGCGTGTGTTTACTTAAAGGAGCGGAGTTTGTTGGCTTCACCAATAACAAAGGCCGCGCAGTATGTACCTTTTTTTTTACTTCATCTGAGCCGACTACTAGTAAGATTAAGTGTGTCCAAAAAGTGTTCGTGTTTAATGTTATGTTCTTCGTGGAAAAAATTAGTTTTATATTGCTCAAATATAGCATTCACGTCTTTAATCAATTTTTTACTTGTGTTTCCATTGATAAATTGTGTTAGTCTTGCAATCTTTGCTCTTAATTCACTAAATTCAATATTACTGTTGTTGTATTCTGACAACAAAATATTATTCACATTGGCGACTATTTTACTCAATTTTTGATGACCTCTGGTTTGATAGAAATTACCTATCGGTTGGTTTTGTAAAGCTTTAGCAAACATTTCAGCTATAGCAATTTTCTTTGCTGTGTGGGGTTTTGTGCATTTAAATGTAAACGTTCTGTATCTGTTTCTTCGTTATTTGAGATACCTATCTAAAGTATTGAGTTGTCATTGGCTGGTATATCGTTATGTTGTTTTTGCAAGTCATTCTTAATTAATTCTAAGCGATCAACACTTAAATATTTGTTCAGTAAATAAAATTAATCGTTTTTGGTGAGCTATCCGTTGCTCCGTCAAATGAGTTAAATGGGGGAATTGTTTTATAAACTCTTGGTGTAAGAGTTTCCTATATGCTATTTAATTTTTCTCACAGTGAGATATAAAAAAATTCTTAAAATTAAAGTAAATTCTTATGATATCTTCATTGTATTCGTCTGTCCATTTCATACGTTGTTGTGTTTGTAAAGGGTAGGTATGACGATTGTTTTGTGTAACAGAGATTTATTGGGGAAATGTAGTCAGTAAGTTTGATTGCACTTCAATATAAATTTTGTTAACTATTTCTTGGGACAAAAGTTTATTATTCATTACTGCTCTTAGCTGATCTGCTATTCTTTGACGGGTAACTTGCATATCTGGAAATCGTTCTATGAATTTCATGTGCAATGGTTGTAAATAACCTTTAGTGTCAGTATCCATCATTGTTAAGTAGAGTTAAGTATGCAATATAAATTCATTCATTTCAGAAGTCCATTTCTTACACATATTACGTTTACTGATGGTGGGCACACTTCGCGAGGTTAACTCCTCGGAGGACTTCTCCTCGGATTCGACTGGGAGCGAGCGAGAAGACTCGACTCCAGTAACTTTGTCGCCTCAAAGTATGGAGTAGTATGCGGTAGAATCCGGTAGTTCTGATTTTTTGCAGACTTGTTTATAATGTTGGCCTAATAAATAATCCAAGTTTGTGACCTCGAGCGCCGAACGCAACTTTGTCAAAAATCAAAAAAACTGCGGAAAAAAAATTTTTTTTTCTTTCAAATTTTGGCGATTATAACCTTAAAGGACTAATTTTTGAAAAACCTTTCTTAGGACGTTTTTAAAGTAGTCTAAATTTGCTACAATATGATACTATAACTATCTCTGTGGACCCAATAGTTTCCGAGATTCCTTTCAAAGTTTATCATTTTTATATATAATCGCCAAAGTTTGAAAAAATACTCCTCCATACTTTCAGGCGACAAAGTTACTGGATAACTAGTCTTCTCGGTCGCTCCCAGTCGAATCCGAGAAGTCCTTCGAGGAGTTATAAAGAATTTACTCTAACTTAGTGCGCAATGTAGGTTGCAGAGCGCGACTTGTAGTATACATAGAAGTCTTTGATGAAGAAAAAAGTTCTTAATAATGATAGCTCATCTTCTTTTTCACCATTTTTTTCTGCTTATGTCAAACTAGGTCTCGTCTATAATAAAGGAGCGTCACGATGTTTGTGTTATTTTTTAATCGGTTACTTGAGTGCAATTCGCGCAGGCACGTACGACGAGGAGCTGCTGCTGGGGTCGCGCGTGCTGGTGTTCTCCATGAGCGCGGAGGCGCCGTGCTTCGCCACCATGGTGCTGGCCGCGCACTACATGGGGCTGCGGCCCGCCGCCACCGTGCTGCTCGTGCAGCCCATGGACTCCGCCGCCGCCCACCTGCACTCGGTACGCGCCGCATCCGCCCGCACACCGCCCACCGCCCACACACCGTCCACACACCGCCCACACCATACACCAATATTCACCACCACTATTAACGCTAAAACCATTCGAGGACATCTCTCATGAATATCATTGCTGGAATTACCACCCTTAAACTCATTGAATCGATAGACGTCTGTCATAACTTCGTTTTTACTTGATTTTCGACTTATGATTTATTGGATGCGAAAATTCTAACGCGTTAAATTCGTATTCACGCACTACACACACACTAACTAATATTTTTATTTGTAAGAACAAATGTCAAGCGAATCTAAGCTTTATATTTTAGATTAAATTATTTGACGCAGTGTGAAGATCTCTTTCCATTACAACATGTATCTATTCGTTACAGCAAATTTTTAAACGACATTTTTCAATCTTACTGAAAAAATTTTTTGTAAAAACGCCACTCGCTTTAGTAAAGATTGCGAAAAAAATATTCGACTATTTATTATAAACAAAGCACAGTGATTGGTCAATCGGATCGCCCAAAACAACGTCTTATCTGATTGGTGGTGAATTGACGACTTGACGTTTCACTTGTTAATCCTTTCTGTCGCCCTCCACCTTTTTTCCCCGCCGGACGAGCCTATTTTTTTTTAAAATTAAATGTTGAAGATTAAAATTTTTGTTAAATGATTTCTGAGAAAAATCACTTTAATAGGAGGGGGGAGGCGTCCACCCTCCGCCAAAGTAATACCAAAGTGTACTAGACGGAGCCCCGCATAGTAAGGCTCCTATTTTTGGATGGTTTATAAAAATATAACTCACTAGACCCCGCCATCCCCTTCTAACCTACCCTGTCCAAGTCGGGGTGCCCCAAGTCCCGAGCTCAGTTCGCTCGCTATTGCACCAAATAAAACACCAAAATGTTAACTTTTATAATTACTTTAATAAGTAAATATATTTTAATACTTCCACCATTTCCGAAAACGCCGTGACATGACAAAATACTTAAAACCTACAAGGTAAAACTAGGAACCAATCACAATAAGAATTGGCCTATAAACCGAAATTAAGCCAATCAGAGTTGAGTATATTCAAAGTATCTAAAGCAATCAGTGTTTTCGCAAAACTCCTTTTTTTCAGTAAGATTAAGGCCCGTAATCACAAACGATACATACATAAGTATGGTAGCAACACTATGCTAATTAAGGTATTTCTCACAGCGTTCGTCATGGCAGGCCGTTCATTTCATGAACAGTACTTAGTGGACTCTTTGTTGTGCGGACATATAGCAGTGAATGAGGCGCCGTGATTGGTTAACGCTGTGACGCGACTTCACTCGAGTTGAATGACAGATAAAAAATAATAACACGCTCTGCGTTAAAGCCTACTGTGCGCACGCATAGTATCGTTCTTGAATACGGGTGTAAGAAATGTCATAGCCATTGTCTAATTATCCGTGTTTTCGCGATATCCCTAGATTTTTACGGAAAATTTGGTTTATCAAATTATCCTACGACACATATATTTATATGATGTAGGTACGTGTTTATAGACCATCATTATTCTCCACTTATTCTCCATCCTCACCCGATTCTCTCCTGTGTTTATTCACTCTAATAAGATGTTTATTTGTTTATCTATTTATCTCATGTTTAATTTTTTTTTTCATTATAAACAGTACAGCGAAGCGGCCGTAAAAGACTACAACCGCGGACGACATTACCTGCTGGACCTGGCGCGGCGCTCCATGATCCCCGTGTTTGATAACGTGGAAGCCGCCATGGCGTGCGTCGTGAGGCGTCTCAGAACCGACCCATAGAGAAATCTTTATACAACACAACCTAGAAACTAACGCATCACAGGGTTGAACAGCTAACAAAACGCGTGGTTTGCGATTTGAGGCATTATTACTCTTGCAATAAGCCCCGAATTACTATCGCGCATGTAGCACATTACTCTCATTCCGGGAATTCTACGTTTTTATATTTCAAAAATAGCACGCTCGGAGAAATTATTATAACGGCCCGTTTTGGAAACATTCTACGACATTGTGAATCTCATTTGCTATTAAAACACTCGCGTGCTTGATTCCTCTTATAAATTCCATTGTACTTTTATCACAAATTACAGAATAAAGACATCACAAATTTTAAACGTCATACAATTGTAAGTTAAATCGCGTGTCAAGGAGTCTCATATACATGTACTTATTTCTAACTTGTTATTTGAAAACTTTTAGCCTAGTACAAACAAGTCTCTCTTTAATTTTATCACTCTCTATTGTATTATATTAAATATAATATATAGGCACTAATTTTACAAAGAATGCATGAGACCTGAATGGATGGTGACGGGGGAAAGGTTGTCATGATAAAAAAATAGCTCCAGTTTCACTGTGATGAAATGTTGAAGATGTTTGAAATATTTTGCTAATAGTCAGTGTATATATAATTGGCAGTTCCGAATTAAATAACAGCATTATACGAACCGGCCAGAATGAAACTATATGTTAGGTGGAAATATAGCATAACATGTCAGTACACAACGGGTGTTGCTTAAAGTACATACATTTAACATTTATTCCAGTTTTAAATTATTTACCAGTTTTAAAAAAAATGTAGTTATTTTAAATTTTTATTAAAATGTTAAAATTAAGACAGTTGTGGGTCGCATAGACAATTGAAAAGAATAGATCTTTTAATGTATTGGCGTTGTGCTATTAATGAAAATAATGCAGCAATTGGTTTGGATATTGAAGAGTACAAATATGTGTTGCTCATGTAGCAAATTTAAGGATATTTGGTAATCAAATGTTATTTCGAAAATAATATTACTATATAACAATTAATCGTTTTATTATCATATACTCATTTTAGGTGTAACGAAATTTTAAGTTTCTAAAAGTTTTAATATGCTACATTAAAACGCGGTAACGCTTGAAAATTGTAAATCATAGATCAGGCTTTAAAAGCCTCGATTCCATACCTACTAAACTAGGTATAGCGTAGTTAATATTAGATATTGTAAGTTCTAAATAAATTTTGACCCACTGTCGCTAAACTTATTACAATTTTATATGAAATCAGCAAATGTTATTTGCTAGTCACTCTCTGCGTTAACATTTATAAGTACTTCGTAATATTGTTTGATAGTACAAAAATCTAATTTATAGTGAAAAATGTCATTAATGATTGTAATTATATGCCATGTACGCTTATTTTAAACTAAAACATCACATGTAAATACAAAAATTTATAATAATTAGAAAGAGTTTTTATTTCAATGGTCTGAAATTTCCTAATTGTTCATCACTCCATGAAAGTGATTATGGCTCTGGGGCTATAGTCTTACAAATATAACCCCACCTTATATGAGATGGGGTTATACTGATTGTGAGTGTGAAATAAGACTAGAATTTTTGAAACAACCACTATAGTGGTGTTCTAAACAAGAAAAAAGGGGATTGCCGACAAACTGGTCCAGTTTGGCGAAATTTAAAATGTAAATAATGTAACACTCTTACTAAGAATAAATTAAAAAAAAAGAAGCCAAGCGATTTACCATCACCACTTAGCTAACAACCAAGTGGGACTGTAGACCAGCACTGACTTATAAAATTGTAAAAAAAAAGTTCGCCTGTGAGCTGTTCAAGGAATTTACCGTCTCATAGTTTTAACCATGCACTATTGGGTGCAGAGCAGTAAACAAGAGCTTGGGCGTCTAAATGATTTGTATTCGAAGCTCGCGAGTTCATAAAAAATATAGTGCTTCTTTTAAGAATGACAAACGAGCTAACAAACCACCTGATTGCTGGTGACTACGTTTGCCCATGGACACATACTTATCCACGCAGCTGTATAGAACTTTAAACAAAAAATCGACATCTAAAGAATGACAGCCTATAATTAGTTACTGCTGTGTACAATCTTCATACTAGAATAAACTATGGGTGTATTGCTGCTTGGCGGCAGAAATAGGAGTGCGGATCAACCCACACGGACTGCAAGGTAGGTAAAGGAGCCTATTAATTTCTGGACAATTAATATAATCAGGCGTTACTTCGCGGAAATTAATTATATTAAAGTTGGAAAAATTTACTTTGCCAATATCCGCTCAATAAAATAAAATGTGTCTTACGTAGTTCGAAGAGCACCTCCCGCCCTCCCTCAATTGCGTGCGCCACTGCTGTACACGCCACCGTTCCGACTGGAGCTGCAGCACGCAGCAGGCAGCAGCAGCAGCGCCGCGCGGTATTAAATCGCAGACCGGTGACTGTGGGTTGAAGTTCGACACACTACCTAGTACTTATTAAAATTGATTTGTGCCATAATATATGTTTTAATTACTCATGATAAATTAATTAAATAACTTCCTGTAACCACAGAATAAAGAATAGTAAGTACTACCTACAGAAGTTGGACTTTTTGACGTTTTAACAGCCTACACAATTATTATCATGGTCGCCACACACGGTCAGTTAAACTGATGTACATCCAAAAACTGACCATGAGTGTGAAATCTAAAGTTGAAATTTTTAACTGAGGTCAACCTACGGATTTTTCCCGGCGCACCGTAATCCGCTGGCTTCACTTAGTTTCAATTATTGGTAAGTACTTACTTTGTTAGTAGTTACTTACATTATTTATATGCTGTTTAGATTTTATATATTTAGAGAAGTTTGTTTGACGGAGGATGCCGAGCAAGGTGACTGTAATGATGTCACCTTCCTTATGGTGGACTCGGAAAGTTCTACGTAGTAGCATTACTGAGATCCTTTACCCAACGTAAAGGATCTCAGTAATACTACTACGTAGAGCCATCGTGTTTGGACTCATTTTCAAAAACCATCTTCATTGGTTAGGCTTTCGTCTTTACGTCTAGACATTTGACAAATAATATATCTTTTTTATTTTTAAGATGAGGGTGACAAACGAGAACACAGTCCACCTAATGGTAAGTGGTTGCTGCGACCCGTAGACATCTACATCTATTACAAATCAAAATTCAGATGCGTTGTCACCCGTGAGGACTAAAATGGAATTCCTCATTTCCAGTAAAACGGGTCTCCGGTTCTCTACAATCACCACACGAAACACAGCAGTGTTAAGCTGCCAGTTTACGCTGGTATTCTGTGAGAGCGTGGTCCTTCCCCGGTCGAGCCGACCCATTCGTGCTACAACTATACTACTAATATAGCTGCAGCATGGCTCTACCACGTAGAGTAAGTATATAATCCAAAATCATAATCATCCCCTAATTACGCCTAATTGAAATGACATATGAAGAGCTCTTTACTTTGTGGTACGACTTATTCACTAGGTGGTGGGACTTGTTTATTAAGTGGTAGAACTTCTTTTTTGTCTAGGCGTCTGTCTGGGTACTACTCGTACCTATTTCTGCTGCGAAATAGCAGCTTTTTTGTTTCAGTCTCAAGGGCATAGAGAGCCATTATAATAACAGGTTGTAAGAAAGTAAATCTTAGTCCTCAGAGGTGACAATGCATCAGTAGCGTTCTTTGTTTGAAGTCGCTTGTTGACTTGCGGGCGTTATGGGCCACTTTTTATATCTATTTATATAATTTTATTTCTATCCCAACTTCTGTAAACTTAACCCAACAGAGCAAAGACTACATATTATGTACAGAACGATCTATTTACAAAAACTAGTTTTAAAAGGAGAGTGATTAGCTTAAAAATTCTATTTAAAAATAGACATAAAACTTTAAGAAATATTAAGACTAAAAGTATATGGAAGTGTCCCTTATCAAACTATAATTATATTACCAACATAAAAACGTGTAACTCTACAGTCGTGTAAGATTGTCGTCCTATCACACAGTGAGAACGAGGGAATAGAAAGTGCACCTGTGTTTGCGCACACACTCATGCACTATAACGATGTCCTGTAGGTGGCTAGTTTCCGTTGAAACTGGCCACCGTGACTGAATTTCGGTCTGGAGATTATAGTTACGGTCGCTGTGTCCACAGAAAGTTTTGTTTTTAATAATGAGGTTTATATAAAAATGCATATTGTAAAAGAACATTATATTTTTGTATTTAATAATACAAGGAAAAAAATTGTAACGTAAGAGCTATTTCACGTTACCTAATTAAATTCTATTCATAATTTATTATAAATAATACATTTTGTATTTAATCTTAAAACACTGTCATCTTTTTCTTATCTTTTCGATGTTTTTGTTCCTTTTCAATCTGCTGTTCTCTATTTTTAAGTGTTTCCAATTCTTTACTCTTTTCATCAATTTGGCTTTTTAAGTTTATATATACACTAGTTCGTGAATGATATTTAGCTAAAGAAGTGTTTAATTTCAATATTTCCTGCTCAAGTCTTTTGCTATCTTGTGTGATTTTAAACTGTTCGATGTTCAAATCTTTGCTAGTGGATTGCTTTATATCTGAAATGGAGATACCAGTAGACGACTCTGGCTTATCACTTGAATCTCCTAACGTCCTGTTAAGAAAATTAAAAACATTTCTTCGCTCCCGCTCTTTCTCGCGTTCATATGCCCTTTTATTTCGCTCTTCCTCTCGTTTTTGCAATCTCCTTAGTTTCTTTTCCACCTGAAAAATAAATACAAAATGTATCAATAGGTAAAATCAATTTATCATCTGTTATAAATGTAATTTCTATCTCGTGTAGCTATAAAAAAGATAATCATCGTTGTTGCTTACTAATAAAATATTTTAAGTAGAGTGGTATCCAAACTGAATGGGGGCTTTGAAGTTAGGCGTAGGGCGCTGTGCAATAGCAAATTTTGCTGCATACCTCGTGCGCTTCTGCTCATCAACAGCCGAGTTCAAAGTTATTATTTGTTAATTTTTGTCTGATTAATATTTGTTATTGATTGTTTCTTGTTTTTCTTTTTTTAATTAAGTATATAAAAACTCTAGGTACATAATACACAGTTACATGTAGTAGGCATATTAACAGTAGGAAACATTTAGGTATTTGGGACTCAAGTCAACACTGACTTGTAAATATTCACAGCTCTTATTTAATACAAAATTAATTACTTCTATTAAGACTTTTTAAATTAATTATGAATTTATTTGTACTAAGAAATCAAACATTGTTAACGAGAAGTTAACTTAAGTTGGAATCGAGTAATAAATGGTAATTCTAGCATTTTTTACGTCGAGGAATCATCCAGTGCGAGTGCAGGCGAAGAGTTATATCGGACTCTTACCGGCTAAACCACAGTGATCCCGCCATCAACGAAGACGGGATGGACGGTCACAGATCTCCGTCCGGACGTAACTGGAGTCTCTCCATCGTTTAGCATGTTTAGCACGTTCTGGGGCTTATAATGCCCCCAGCATCCTTGCAGTGTCATCACGAAGATTTGAATAGTAATTCAAGTCATTTCCGATATTATCATATAAGCGTTAAATCGGATACGAATAGACTAGGATAAAATGTCTGTGTTAGCGAGTACTGCGGCTGGTGACATATTCTGGGCCTGAGATATTATTCAGAATTTTTTATCGTGGTCGGAATCGACCCGATTACGAAATGAAAACTGTATTATTAATCGATGTATGCAGGTTGGAACCCCACCTCACATGAAATTATATGTACGAAACGGGAGCAAATTTCAATGGCAGTTATCTCTTCTTTCTAGTTTTCGTAATATGTCTATTAATGACATTGTCAAATCAAATAGGCTCAAATATCAAGTCGAACGGTTACATTTGTAATTATTTTATTTATTAAGATTCTATAAGAGCCGTTGCCGTTTAGCGATTTGTACATAGTATTTGTTAGCATTTTGCAATGTTTCTGTGATGACAAATTTCGCAATTTGAATTTGAAATAGAAACATTTCTTCAGTTCGGGAACGAATCCTCGGTTCTGCAGTGCCGCAGCCAAATGCTTAGCCACTGCACTACGGAGTCATTTACTTTTTACTTAATTAATTACTAGCATAATTGTGCGTTGTTTATTTTATATTTTCTTTATATATATTTTTGTACCTAATAATTGTAGAGATATAATAAGAATGTGGAGGAAGCGAGAGAGGTGTGTCAGGATCGTGCCAAATGGAAGTCCATAATCTCTGCCTACCCCTCTGGGTGACAGGCGTGAGTTTTTATGTTATTTATGTTATATAATAAGAAATTGCTGTGTATAAAATACATTGATTTATTATCCTCATTGGCAATTTACTCAATCCCCACGTTAAAAAAAAGTATTTCTCATAAATCATTCGGTATAAAGATCTAACTTTTATCATATAAAAATATCGATAAACGTTATACCAATAAAATTATTCGAGGATAGACATTTTGAGCACTATTATAATTCGTCTATGTTGTCAGCACTGGTTCTCAAAAATTAAATGTCATGTCTTCATGTTGGTGGAATAGTTTGGCGCCCTTTTTCATACATTTACTTTTAATAGGGAAGTCCCGCCTATTAAACGTAGTAATTATATTCTCTTTGGATTTATGGTTCATTTGGACTTACTTACGAAAACATAATCCAACCTAAAGTCGAATCAAAAATAAGTTATGTATTCAAAAAGAACCCTTATAGGATCTATTCATTAATAGAATATAAGAAACTCAGTCAATAGAGAGAAAGAGAGTCACTATCACTGAATACTGCAACACGACTTATTTATTTGAAAAAAGCGTTACCCTCACTTCTTCTAGAAAACTTTAAACGTCATTATTTCAAAAGTAGACTTCTGTGGGTTAGATCCCTATTGCGTAAAAACATCCATTTGTCCTATGTATTTTTTTTAAACTACTACGGTTTTTAAGTGTGTTTTCTCTGGCCGAAGAAAATATTACGAAAGAAAGACTTGGAAGTGACAAAAAATATTTATGGAAAAAGAGAAAACCAAAAAAATATTATAAAAAATAGGAAATGTTTATCAATTTTGTGATCAAAATACAAAAAGGATAATTTATTGAAATAACAACTAAAGCATAGAAAATCTATAGAAAATCTCTTCAGCAAATTGGCTTTAAATATTTATAGATTAAACTTGTTCATATATTATATATTTAATTTAGATAGAGAAAGGTTTATTTTCAGTATTTTCTGCTCAAGTTTTTAATTGTCTTCGTTTATTTGGTACATTCCTTAAAAAAGTATATATGTATTAAATAGTGATCGGCGTAGGTGGGTAGTGCCATTTTTAGTCAATGAACTTGGATGATAATGTTAATATGGACATGCCCCGGGATTCCCGGGAATATTTTTCTGAATGTCGATGCATTAAATGAAATTAAACTGTTTAAAATGAGTACGCACGACGAAATATCAAACTACTCATTTCCGGTATAAGCTGGTCCAACGCCGTGCTGTTTGTCATATTATTGGTATTGACCGATTATATGCACATATTATTGGTATTGCAGCGGGATCTTATTATACTGGAAATAGGTAGATTGATATGTCATTGTGGGTATCGTGGGGTCAACTGTAATGACTTTTCAATGATCGTCAATGTGAAAGAACGTCTTATGTTCGCTCATATGTAGTATAAAGGTCGAGAAACAGAATCATCTTATTATTTCTCAACAAGCACCATTTTTTATAATTATAATTTGTGAAATATGAAGATGATCAAATAATAAAGATCAAATCAAAACAACAACTTTTAGACAAAAATATATTTTGACCTAGGTGTGACATACTTCTAGATTTGAGTAAAGAAATCGTAAAATCGGCCTCGCAATTTTGCGCCGCTAGTGGAATTTAAAGCCTACTTCTTGATTTTATTATGTAAACTTGTACACGGTGAACCAGCTTTTATTTTACACATATGGACTATCAAACTAGAATCCTGAACAAGCCATAAACATTCCTTATATTAGACTATATTGAATGGGTATAGTGATACTGAGTCCTCACAGGGATGACTTTAGTGACCAATAAAATATGTGCATAAAGCTAAAAATGTATGAAAAATACGAATTCCCAAATGGCACTCAAAAAAAAATCGGTTTAATAAAATAAATAAATAATATATTCACGGGATTCAGAAGGCATATCCATGTTAAGATAACGGTAACTAAATTCCGATCACTTACGCCGATCACCATTAATAAAGATAACCTTAAACTGACCTTGAGCGGATCCTGGGAGGCGTTGTTCTCTTGTATCTGCATGCAGTGGTCGAGTCCCCTAGCGGCGGGCAGCACGCGCGCCTCAACGGGCTGCAGGCGGCCGTCGCCCGCCGCGCCCAGCCCCGTGCCCGGCACGTAGCCCATCGACAGCATTATCTTCGATCCAATACCCTGACAACGCACGCAACACAGTAAGAGATCGTTCCCAAAATGCTGGACCGGCGATTTCGATCTAGCTCCGACTATATGTGTTCACATTAGACCGCTCCGACAAAAAACCGAACAAACATGGGACGCTGGAAGGATACTGAATGTTTTTTATGTAGACCTTTTGTCTAGGTGTACCGATTTTGATGATTGTTTTTTTTATTTGAAAGCTGATGCTTCTCATGTGGTCCCGTATAAATTTGATCAAGATGTAACCAGTAGTTTTTGAGCTATCTTTAATAATGCGTATTTAATTGACTTTGACTACATTGATGATGTTCTCATTTTATTTATATTGAAGTCGGTTGTACAAAATTTTTAATTTTACCACTTGCTATTAAGGCAGTTATATTTTAAACTCTTTAGAGTTGGACTAAGTAATATCACAATCTCAATGTCGTTTAAAATGACGGCTCACTGTGAACAGATTCATACAAAGGAGACGATTTCTTTTTGTATGGAGGCTGGGTCCACCACAAATTGTGGCGTAACTTAATGAAATACACGTCGATTTATTCTTTATAACCTATAGATTACAAAATTAATATTAGTTTTACCGTATCTAACAGAAATACTGATAAATTAGCAATTAAAAGGAACTCCATCCGCAGCTGGTTGTTGCTGATGGTGATAAGAGGGCTGGTTCTTTTCTCGCTCAAAGGCTAAGTATAGCCATTCAGCGGGGAAACGCAGCCAGCGTTCTTGGCACGATACCGCGAGGAGTAGGACTATATGATAATTAAGTTTCTAGTTTTAGTTTTTTTTTTTAATTATTTTAGTATTTAATATTGTATTAAAATATGAATATGATTTAGGCTTCGGTATAAATAATAAATGCCAGCAATGATACTCTTTTTAATAAAATGTGTAAAAATATTGGGGAAAATAGTGATTTTAATGACTATGAGATGGCGCTAGTATCAACGTAAAAGCGATCTACTGAAGACTTTTATACCTCTTTTATAGTATTTACAATAAAATAATAACCGTTTTTTTTTATTTATCGAAATAAATAATAAATTATATAAATGCCGGCAGAGGCGCCATCTTTTGAACAAAATGTGTAAAAACTGCGTAGTGCTCTTGCTGCCTATTAGATGGCGCTAGTATCAACGTAAAATCAAGCTATAGAGGAATTCCACACCCCCGGTCGTTACACGCCTTTTTTCATATTACATTAGCAAGAATACGAATAACGATTATGGTTTATAACATTAGTCGTTTATGTCGATATCTAAAGTGCAACACATTACATTCTTCTTTATCGTCATCAACCCGTAATAATCCACTGCTGAAAACTGGTCTCCCGTGTTATGGGTATTGGGCCAAACCTTAATCGTCACGCATGGCAGACGAATTGGAATTCGCAGTAACAGATTTCACGCACGTCTGACCTTGCTCCTCGTCGCCTATCTGAGTATTTTATGTTATGCATAAACGAGATGGCTATACCCTCATCTATCGGAAGCTATGAGATCTTTCTGGCATTTTGTTACGTGCTAGAGCCACGCTACAGGTATATTATGGTTGAAGAATGAATGGGTCGCCTCGACCAGGGAAAGACTACGCTCTCGCGGAATACCAGCGTTAAATAGCAGCTTAATGCTGCTGTGTTTCGTATAGCAAGTGTAGAGAACCGAAGGCCCTTTTTGCTGGAAACGAGGCATTCCATATTAGTTCTCAGGAGTGACAACGCAAATGTATTTTGATTCTTAATTGAATATAAATGTAGATGTCTATGAGCGAAACATCCACTTACCATCAGGTGGACAGTGTGCGCGTTAATCACCTTTTTCTATATAAAAATGTCGAAACATTAGTAAACAAATAACCATTATTCTGAGTCCAAAATTACCTCGGTCTAGTTCAACTCAACTTTTACCGCCAACACATTTTATTTTTTTATGTTATTTAAATTTGGAATTAATCTGAAATAAATTACGAACAATTTGATATTAAAAAAAATTAAAGTGGAAAGTACTTTTAGTTGGTCTATGTTATTAAAAATAGCCCTCGACTGTGTTGATGTGAATATTATTATAATTGGAAAAAACAAGGAATTGATAGATACATACTCACTCTTGTATGTCTCTCCCATTCGCCCATAATAGGGCCGTTATTTTGTAGACTTTTTTCAACCAGCAAATCGCGTTGGCTTGGGTCAAGTTCCAAGCGACCACTTTTACTCTCCGGGTATTCAGTGTCGCTTAGACTATCGTCGGACTCGAAATCTTCACCATTTTCAGCTAGAAAACAATTTTTTTTAAATACCTACGTTTATTCTTATTTATTTTTTTATGTTGAACTACGAATGGGTAGGTAGATTTACGTAAAACACAACGAGGTTTAGGTCGACAAAATTCACGAACCACTAACGCACGCATAACAAAAATAATCACATGACAAATTCTTGACAAGACTTATATTTAGTTGGTATATAATTTTCTTTTACTACCACAAGCTTACAACTGAACACTGTATATAATACATTATAGTATATAATCATCATCATGATTATCATCATCATCATAAATCGACGAAGTTTCAACGAAAATTCCATCAGTTATTAGTAACTGAAATTGAATTTTTTAAAAATCCCCGAAACAATAAGGGCTAATGAACTAAGAACACTCCCGATCAAGTCACCTTTAAAAAAAAAACTAAATCTAAATCGGTTCATCCATTTGGGAGGCACAGACAGACAGATACACACGTTATACACTGTTTGCGTCGGGAGTAAAAATGAGAAGATATACTTACCATGCTGAAAGTGTCAATCTGAACTAATGAATGTGCATTAATTCATTCAAATCGATCTTCATAATATATATAGTATGATTAAAAAATTACGAAAGAAAAAAATAAAAGTCAATAAATATTACTCACTATTTAACGGAAAGATGTCTTCAAATGACACATGAAGCTCGTACGCCGTGGTCTTCCTCTTCTCGCCGGTTTTCACGCCGTGCTCTAATTTGGCCACGCAAGTTCTTGTCTCTAAATCTACACTTCTAACTACGGCTACGTGCCACAAGTGATATCTTTCGGTAGATTTTTTCGCCACACTAATATCCTACAATAATACAATAATCTTTATATATAAAAATTACCGACCACTCAACCGATTGTAATGAAATTTCGCAAATGTGTATTGCTTGTTCCAACTTGAGAGATAGGATAGTTTTTATCCCGATAAGTGAACCTCAATATTTTTTATTGCGAATTTTAAATTTTTTTAAAGGACAAATGGTCGTCGAAAAGGGCAGAACAAGGACAGCTTGGCCAGCTAGTTGTTTTACAATTTAAAAAAAATATTTTTCCTCTAGTAAAATTTCTGTATCTACTACGAAATATCTTCTTCATCAGCCCATAATAACCCAAGACACGGGCCTCTCCCGTTGTAAGGATTGACTATGACTGCCGTTAACTGATAGGTTAGGTTGGTTGGCTGGGAGAGAATACCTTTAGTCCGCCATAATATGTGCTATTTTTGTGCAATCAAGTTTAAATAAATAAATATAGGATTCGAAATATGTATGTGAACTGGCATGACATCTATGGCGTAGTACTATATATTCCGCTGTCTCCAACAATATGCGTATTGTGCCGCCACTCGCGCTTACTTTCTAAGGCTCAAAAAGATTTAGGCGAAGAATAAAATTTTTCTTACCTCACTGTCAGGTGCTTTCAATTTTAACAATATTCTACTTCCAGGTCTAATCATTTCGTAATTCGGTTCTATGGCCTCCTTTAAACTTGATAATTTTACTAGTGCACCATGCGAATACCTATGATATAAAAGCACATTATCGCAGTTCTATTACGTTTTTTTTTAATACTGCCAGAAGCGTTACTAATTTTAATGACACTACAGTGAAATGTGTCATCATAGTTTTCTCCCTACATAATGAGTATCATGATACTAGAGCAAATATTCTGACCATACAATATATGTATGTATAATTATCTATCATCGCTATGCTCCCATGTTATTTTTTCATAAATGAATTATTTTAAAAAGTAGGGGCGTTTTAAAATGACTAAAACTGTCCAGTTACACCGCCATCAGGTGGGTAATAAAGTAATAATGAGCTAGAAATTTAAAATATTATTTTTAAACATTTTTATTTTTTATTTTTTTTTAAACGTTACCCCCACACTAGGATTTTCTCCTGTATCGTGGAGGCAGATTACAAACACAAATTGCACAAGGACAAACATCCAGACCCGGAACAATTATTTGTAGGCTATACAAATACTTGTTGCGTGCGGGATTCGAACCCGCGCCCCCCAGCGCAGCAACTCATTGCTAAGCCACTGCGCCACGGAGCCGTCACCCCAACGTCAACGTTTTTTTACGTAAAGAGAATCGAAAAATTTGTTCACGGTACACATAAGTGAAATAATTTTTCGATTCTCTTTCCTAACTGACTTACAGTAACATAATTTTTTTAACCTGTATAATATTGAACTCGCCTACATTAATCATTACTAAATTTACATTCACCATCAACAAAAATGCACATGGCAACATTTCTGCGCAAATGAGTTGAGTAAATAAGACACGGATTAGCCACGAAAACCGCGCGGGAGAACGGAAGGAAAAAAGCATTCCACGAGGGTCTTATGTTTTTGTTCCAAACATTTTTTTTAATGTTTTACTTTATGTCTTACTATCAGATAAGTGTATGTGCCAAACAAACTTTGCCACATACACTTACCTGATAGTAAGTGATCTAAGAAAGGTTACCTCACAGCCCGCTAATATATAAATAAGCTCGACATATCTTTCTAACCGAAACACAAAAGTAGACGACGACGCACTGCTGCTTAGCGACGGATAAAGTAAGAAGATGGTACCTACTCAAACTTAATCCTAGGCAAAGAAAGAGTAATTAGTTAGAAATTTAAAGTAACTTTAGAATCTAAACGTCAGTTCACTTCCGTCACTACGATTCTCTTTCCGACCGGACTTACATTAACAATAATTGTGTATTGAACTCACCTACATTGCTCATCACTAAATTTACATTCACCATCAAGAAAAAATGGACATGGCAACATTTCTGCGTGCGTCGGGTGAGTAAATAAGACACGGACCTGAAAGCAGTTGTTTTGTGTGATCATTGGGAAGGACAATTAACCATTCTGCGTGCTTGTAATACACATCCAAACTGTTATCCAATATATTTTTATAGAAGAAAAGGTGATAAATAAGCACACATCTGATGATAAATGGGTACAGTGGCCTATACCTACACCTATATCTATGATTGTATAATAATCAAAATTCAGTATTCAGTTGTATATGTATGCAATTAACATCTCCGAGAATATGTACCAGTAAAGATAGTCTCCCGTTTTCAAAACTCACAATACACACACAGCAATACTAAACGCTGCATTGTAACGCTGCTATTTTACGTCGGTATTATGCGAGAATGTGGTACTTCTCCGGTTGAGCCGGCCCATTTGAGCCACCCTTAACACAGTTGCAGCTTGCAGCTGTAGTAAACGTACGTACGTATAACGATACGTCTGGTCGGCGAAAGTCGATATAATATAAAAGCAGGGTTCCTAAAAAAAAATTGGGCACGCCACTATAGCGGCGATAAGACCCCTCTTTGAGGAGTGGCTTGAGAGACGCCACGGCGTCCTCACCTTCCGCCTGACGCAGGTCCTCACCGGACACGGTGTGTTCGGGAGGTTCCTGCACCGAATCGGGCGGGAGGAAACGCCCGGGTGCTCCCACTGCGAGGATCGACCGGAGGACACGGTGGAGCACACCGTGGAGGTGTGCTCTGCTTGGGCGGAGCACCGCCGTGTCCTCGTAGCGGCGATAGGCGGCGGCGACCTCTCGCGTCCGGCTCTGGTCGAAGCCATGGTCCGGAGCGAGGCGGAATGGGATGCCGTCACCACCTTCTGCGAAGCAGTGATGCTAGCGAAGGAGGTGGCGGAGCGGGAGAAGGAAAGAGCAACAGCTTTCCTTCCCGGCCGCCGCGGGAGACGCCCCGGGCGTCGGGGGCTACGTCGTGGCCCCCGACCACCGTAGGCGCGGGCCTGTGGACGGCGAGCAATGGGTAGCTCGCCGTCCGTCCGTCTAACGACGACAGGCCGTGTCGACGGCGCGTTTTGTTCCACGCGCGCCTCAAAGAGCTGTCAGCAGCGTGAAGGGGCCCGCAAGGGCCGACGCCTGCCGGGGCTGCGGGCTGTTCGAAAGAGATACCGCGGCTCCGGAACGTAAGGGCACTGAAGGAACACGGATGGTTTTTAGTCAGTAAAAGTCTGACACTCCCTTCCGCTCCACCCACAGCGAAAGGCGTCATTAGATGATTTTCCATCCGCAAAAAAAAAAAAAAAAGGGTTCCTAAAATCATTACAAATTGCGGCCCGCTAATTATTTTTGCCAATATATACTAAGCCCAGACCTCGCGCTTAACAATAGCTGCGAGCCTCGTACCAAAAAACTTTGTGCTTACGGCGATAGGTGACGTTTTCATAATATTTATCAACTCTTTTCGTACAGACTTTATTTGATGTAAGCTGTACAGGTGCACAACTCCAACCGTCCCAGCTACTACTGCCTTCGTATATTCCTTTTACTTCTTGTTTTTTTTAGAACCCCCATAATATGTTATCCTCATCTACCATGTAATTTCACTATTTCCGGTTCTTTACCTATAGCGTGTTTAATTGAGAAATAATACATACAGCATAACATGAATAAAAATACCCAGCACAGCGGTCATCAACTAACTTGTTCAACATGTTAATTATGACAAAACCACTCCTTACTGTTCGTTACCAATGTTCTCGTGACCAATGAGAAATAATTCATTAAAAAAAAAAATACACAACATGCATGCAAAGTTAGTTGTGTAAACTATACCTGCAGATCACTAAACTGATCATTATTCTGACGCGGCTCCACACTGCTAACCATGGCATTGTGTAAGCTTGGCTGCCCACCCCATTTATGAGTATGATATACTGCACATTTCATACCTAATAATGTAGCCAATTCATCCTAGAACCAACCAGGAAATTTTATAAGTAACTAAGTGCACACATTTGCTAACCACTTCAAAAGGCGTGTGCGTTAAATCTTTAACAATATTACAATTAAGAGAAATGTAAAAAGATAAAAAAAGAAAGAGAAAGAGTAAAAAAATATTCAACAGCAATAATGGCTATTAGCATGTACTAGGTTGATCAATAAGTTTTTTTGGAAAAGCAATGAAACTCTAGGATAATTATACTTATTAATAAATTGTATTTATATTTTAACATAATCGCCTTTTAAGCTATATATATAATACACTTGGAATATCGTTTTGCAAGTTGATTAATTCCCTTGGAAAAAAAGGCGATTGCCTGATTGATGGGATATTTGCCATAGTTACTACGCTTGGCAGACTGGTTACCAACCACAGTTTTTTTTCTTTTTGACACTGGAAAACGCTGCTGCCCATCTCCTGGTTTGGTTCCCTTTGTCGCCTCTTATCGTGTCACGTGTCTTTGAGTGTGAACAGTTGTGTCAACACGAAAATAGTGCTACCTAACATTAACAATTTGTCATTATAACCCAGGTTAACCATCAGTGATCAAGAGCCTAGCATTAGCCGTAAATTTTGCAGTACCACGTACTTGGCGGTGAAGAAAAACATTGTGAGGAAACTTGTATGACTGAGGAATAAAAATATTTTGAAGATGTCTGAGGATTTCACATGACGCGGAGACAGTACTAGAATTGCGTGACGGACTTATTGCTCCATACATTTCAGATATGAGAAGAGGTCATTGACCCGCAGTAGGACCTATAAGGCTGTATCTTTATTTTTTTTTCGATTTTAGCATTAACTAAAATTAGATGATTAATTATAATGAATAATTAAAAAGAAAGGAACAGATATTTATCTGGCTATTCCAAAAGGTGGATACTGGTAGCTCAGAAATACATAATACATGTTGGAAAATGTGCCGTGTAGTGACGACGTCATAGAAATCTCTTCCCATATCATCCCGTGGAGCGTCGTAAGACACGACAGACGGAATAGAACAGGAGATAAGCAGCATCTTTCTGATAACAATTCAAGATAATAAAAAACTGCGGTTGCTAACCCATCTGCTGAGCGTGTCACCTATGACAAATGTCAGTAAAATAAATGTTTTTTTTATAGGATAGGGTGACAAACGAGCACACAGTCCCCACCTGATGGTAAGTGGTTGCTGCGGCCCATAGACACCTACATTTATCCTCAACAAAGAACCAAAATGCAGATGCTTCGTCACCCATGAGGACTAAGATGGAATGCCTCTTTTCCAGTAATATAGGTCTCCGGTTTTCTACACTCACCATACGAAACACAGCAGTGTCAAGCTGCTATTTTACTCTGGTATTCTGTGAGGGCGTGGTCCTTCCCCGGTCGAGCCGACCCATTCGTGCTACAACTATACTACTAATATAGCTGCAGCATGGCTCTACCACGTTAGAGAACATAGTGCTGATAGATTGATATCTATATCAGCACTACTTTTCTTACATGTCTTGTAGTTTTTACACAATTTCATTGCGCAAATCTCCATTTTCAATTTCATTTGTAGAAAGATATTCATGTGCTCGCAGTGAGTCGCAATTAGCACTAAATGGGCGCGAGAAAGTCACCGGCCAAAAGTTGTGTGGTATTTTTTCTTACCTTTCGACCGCCTTTATCCATCTAGACATGTATATAATCCGAGATTGTAGAATGGTAATTCTAACTGGTTTGTTTTAATTAAAAGTTTTTACTTTTTACCTCTATATCACTGTCGTCATCATCGCCTTTTGTAATGTCATCTTTTAAACCTGTTGCGTCTTGGCGTTTTTCGGTTTCATACACACCACTTTTAGACATTTCTTCCTGCAAATGTGAAAAAATTAAATCAGTGCTGTGAATAAACACAGAGCTGATTAACCTGAAGATATACAGTTTACTCACGATATTTGAATGTGAAACAAGTATAACGAATAAGCTCTGAAATCTGAGCTGCTGCTCTTACTAGCTGTTCCTAAGCTGAACCCTAAAATAAAAGTAGCCTAAGTTACTCCCTATAACATCAGCTATTTGCTAGTGAAAGTCCCATCTAAATCGGTTCACAGGTTTTTGCGTGATGCGTGTTCATACAGACGCCATGTTAGAGTTTTACTATAGTAAAAAGACTTCTTATAACAAGGAAGGCGAACCAATGGCACGCGTGCCATCGATGGCACGTGACACATTATTTTAGGCACACTACCGATCACAAAGTTCACTATGAAGTTATCGTATTATGAACGAATGCGAGTAATCTTACGCTACGGAGTGTTTGGGCGCGGTGCGCGAGGCGGCGGTAATCACGAAATAAAAATTATTTTACGGCACGCCTATGGCCTAATTAAGCATTTCTTTAGAAAAATGGCACGTTGATATATAAAGGTTCGCTACCCCTGACTTATTATAACATCAGCTATCTGCCAGTGAAGGTCCCATCCAAATCGGTTCACAGTTAGAGTTAGAAGTTAGAGTTTTATTATAGTAATAGATAGATAGATGAGCAATGTTTCCCCATCTCGCAACCTGCGCGAGCGCCCTGCGCGCGCCGGACCGCAAAATTTTATATCGTCGTAACTTTTAAATATTTGACCAAATTACGTAGTTTAAAAGACAAAGTTTATTTACTTTGAATATCAGAAGCGATAAAAGTATTTATTTTGGTAAAAATCAATCTAGTACTGCAAAATGTGCAATGCAAAATAAAGCTAAAAAATAATAATTGTATTTATCGTTCACTATTTTGGTAATAATGGCTTACACATAAAATATAGATATATAATCAATGCCGCCATACATTCATTATATTCGTGTAAGTCTTACAGTTTTTGCACCTCACACTAAAATAGCTAGCAGATGACAGATTATTTTCAGACTTACTTAACTTATATTTGTTTATTTATCGTTATATTTTGGCCAATTTACACAACATCTTTATGAATTATAGCTTAAGTGTTATTCTGATGTATGAGCTACTATATTATTGTAAAATTTAATTAAAATCTATTTAGTAGTTTTTGCGTGAAAGAGTAACAAACATCCATAAATCATCACAAGCTTGTTTGTAATATTAGTAGGATTCCCAGGTCATATAAAGTTGTTGAATTTACACTAGAGCAGTGTGGTTTACCTTATTTACAATTTTCAGTGAGACATGTAGGTATTCATACTTAATAAAGGCACAAAAGATAGATTGAATCTTAAGATACACATGTTCTTTATATTAATTATAATATATATAATATGTTATACCAGTTGCACAATCTTTCCAACTTTGATCACATATAAGTCAGAAAGGGGATAGACAGAAAGATGCGGTTTGCAGCATAATGTTCACAAGCACCAAAAGTTTTGTTCTATACCAAATATCAACAGCAAATTTCAAATAAACAAAGCTCTCTTCTCTAATTTATTTTTGTTTATGTCTTTACAGGTGAATCAATGAACATAAAAGATAACAAATCACGTCTAGCAGAACTTCCGGATGTATTACGGATGTACACTCGCTTACGTCCGACCATCCGGCAATGGTACACGAAGTTGAATGTAACCGTAGGTGTCATGAAGAAGATAAGTTCTTTTAGGCTTTGTGAAGGTAATGATCTACAAGACCCTCAACCTCAACCTACTCCTGTAGGTTCTTCCACCAAGCCCACATCGGCGCAGTACTTAAATAGGAACATGCGAGGCCAGACATGGGCCTAGGGTGGATGCCCCTAATACCAGCCATGCCCCTAATTCCAGCCTTTTCGCCTTTTTACTTCGTAAATAAGATTTCTATTAGTCTCAACTACAAATATTGTAACCTAAAAAATTCTTCGTAACTAGAGGAATGTATATTTCAAATATTACCTCACAGTTTTAAACCTAACACTGTTAAATTAAAAATCAAAACACGTACGCGACGAAAAACGCTCATTTTCCTAATTTTTTGACAAGTTATGATCCCGGTAAAATTATGCTTACTTTACATTATTTCATATAATATAGGCTTTTTGATTTGTATGAATATGACTATAGACATTGAATAAAACTATTTTTACGGATTTTATCGCGTTTAATTAACTTATTTTATATTCCCGACGTTTCGGTTGCTTTCCAGCAACCGTGGTCACGGGGGACTGAGGTGATTGACGTCCCGATGTCAAAGTTAACCCGGAGTACCTTCAGCTTTTTAATTATTAATTTTGGTCCGATCTACGCAGAATGAACTAACTGTGTCTTGAAGTCTTGCAGTGGTATGCTTGGGTTTAGTTTTAATTTTATGAATTACAGGATCCCAAGCAGGTGGTAGTACCCAGCCTCCCTCTCTATTGAAATTAGGATGTTTTTTAATTTCAATAGCCTCACGTATCATCCTTGGCAGGAATCGATGTTCTTTGGCGAGGACTTGTGGTTTATCAAATCTAATGTAATGGCGGGGGCCGTCTAGGATATGATCACAAACTGCAGACTTCCCGGAACGTTGGTGCTTCACGTCAGCTATGTATAACTATAACTTAGTAATAGTAATTACAACTTAGAACATAAACGAAAAACGGTACGACTTTCCATTGACTCCCATCGAGTTGGGGGTTGATACGTATTTTTACAGAAAAGTTACACTATTATAAGCACAAAAAATCGATTTCTAAAATATCTACGGTGCTTTGGGGTAAATACGACATATTTTCTGATTAGTTGATACGATGCATATTTAATAATTAGTTTTAAAAAATCTATCTAAGTTTACAACCAACTCATGTCACTTTTATTTATTGAAATACATATCCTAATTATTTTGTTATTCATCTTAATAAAATGTCTTTGCCTTGCGTAAATACAATCATTTAAAATTTGACATATTTTTCTCCTGGATAAGGTGTAATTCCGATATAACGTGGGGTAAAACCGAAAATTTTTTAAAGTGTTCCTTTTTGACTTTCGACAGAAGGTTTAGATTTACTTTTCGTTCGTCTATACCCCCTCTACAAAAAGCATTGATACATACCCTATGTTTCTAATTTAACTATATTTTGCTCATTTGAATTTTCGGAATTACCCCACATAAAGTCCAGTGGTTCTAAACATTTAAGGCACCACCACGGCAGCGTACCTTGCGTTCCCGTAGTTGGACAGTTATTAGGCTAGTTAAAGAGGTTTGTTCAAACTTTTATAGCAGGTAAGCGAGAATAAAAAAAAATTATACATTTCTTTATATATTTTTAATGAGTAAAAGTAACCGAAATCGGGATTTTTCAAACCTTTAAAAACTCATAACTGCGAAAATATTACCTTTATCGTAAAACGTCATAGGACTTTTTGTATTTATAATTTACCAAGGTTTAGTATAAAAAAAAAATATGGTTCATACTTTATTATTTTTCTTTATGCATTTCTAATGGGTCAAAAGTATCCAAAATTTTTTTAGCCTTTAACAATTCATAGAAGATATTAACTTTTATTGAAAAAGTCACGGGATTTTTTTATTCGTATTTCATCAAAGAATATAAAAAAAATAGTCCCGTTTGAAAATAATAATTCAAGTTTAAACAATACCTACGGCACCGAGTTGCCTCATGGCAACATGCATTTATATCATCAGTACGACAATTTGAAGGGAATCGCATAAAAAATTGATGTGGAATAGATTTCGGTACTCATGCACCTATTCCTTCTGAACAATGTCTAAATATTTGGCATTGCGGTAGGTACGTCTTGCCCACTGCCGTTGGTTAAATTCGCGAACGTGTTAAACTTATCCAAAATAACAATTTATGCTGACGAAAGATTAACAGCCACTGGAAACTACAGTGGAAAAGTAGTTCGATAGTCCACTAATTCGAACCCTGTGGGGCATTTCCGAAAAAAACACAAAAACAATAGCTGGCTAATCCTAACCTATAAAATAAAGCTTTTAAAACGATTACCTATCATAGAATCAAACAATCATTAAGATTACTTAGCAAATTCCTAAGATAATGAATGTGGGGTAATTTCGAAAAACCGAAAAGAGTTAAAAAAGCTGTTTCCACCGAAAAGTTTACTTTGCACACGTACTATTGAGACTAGCTACCGGAAACGACTGCAGCGAGGGAGACAAATAAAATGTCGTCTAGAATAAAGTGACCAGAGCAAAAAATATTGCCTAGTTAAGGCTTAATTTGTAAATATCGGAATTCCCCCATTTTTGTAATTACCCCAAAGCATCTTATATTTTTTTTATGTATGCATTTATAATGTAAATATAATTCCATTTTATGAAAAACAAGAACGATACCATAATAAATGATCTCTTATTGAAATTTGTTTTATTTTAACAGTACCAATTAGGGCAGATAACAAATAAAATAGGTTAGGTTCAACTTATGTCAAAGAACCGAATTGATTGACCCAGACTCCACCTGGTACTAGTCTGTCCTACCCCTAGAGTGGTTTTAAAGAGCCGGAGGCGCGTAAGGGGAGCAGCCTCCGCCTGCTGTAACAAATCGTAGGCATCGGACGAACCGGAGCGGCTGAGGCTGGTCACCAAAGGCGACCAACAAGCCGAAGCTGCGGAGGCGAGGAGTTATTTATGTTATTTTAAAATTACCTTAATAATATAAATAACTTTACAAAATACATTTAATTTCAAAACAAGTAGGTAGTTTACAACCGGAAAAAGTGAATTTCATTATGGTAGAATGTGGTAAGAATCAATGCGAGCAGAGCGAGAGTGGCGTCGTGCAGGTGCCGAGTTTTAAATTAAGTGTTTAGAAAACTTTTAATAATTTCATAATTTTTGGACCGATTTATGTCATCTATAAAACATAATACACATAACTAAATATGTTAAAGTCGAGAATTCTGTTATGTGTGGAAAGTTCATTACAAAACTACATTTCAAAGCAGTTAGCACTAACGGCAATACTAGTATAAACTGTGGCGTCTTCCACCCTGAGAAGCACAAAACAAAGAAACATATATTATATATATATATATTATATGTTGTTTATGGTGAGAAATAAATAAATAATAATAATTATTATTATTATATAATTTTGCAATACAATTACAATATTATTTTTGTAGTATTATTATAGTAGAATACAAAACAAGTTTAAAATAATAATTGACTAACAAGAGAAAACTTTCTAATTACCACAAATGTATGTGTTTATATGAGTGAGTTAGTTTGTGTGAATTTAAATGCCGATTAAATTCTCTGTTTCCAAGTAGTTAAGCTAAAGTTCAGTAAAGCATAATTTAAGAGAACACTTACCATAAATAAGGCATATTCACTATCTAAATCACTTTTGCTACCATGTTCATTAGCTTGTAGATCAGATTCCTCTTTATTTGCCTGCTTAGCCTGTTGTGTATCTAAACTCTCTTGGGTAAGTTGAATAAGCTCTTGCATTTCAGATTGTAGTGCCATCAGGGATTCCCGTTCAATATCATCTTGAGCTTTTGCAAGAGCGTCATTGACCAATTGTAACTAAAATTAAAACAGGAATTGTATTGAGATATCGTGTAACTGTTAATTGGTGTCACTAACCAGCCCATTTAAAAGGAAACTAATTTATAAATCAAACCGAGACACTTACTTGCTCACTATATTGACTGAGTGAGTTTTGTAGATCTTCCATTTTTTTTAAATTAAGAATCAGATATTATTATTATATTAAAATATGTTATTAAATTAAAACTCGAATCATTTCTTCATTTCTCATAGTAAAAAAGTGAAAAAATAAACACCAGAATACAGAATTGAAATGACTTGAACTTGATTGATCAGATGATTAGTGATCACCAGTCACCAGTGTAAACTGTCAATGTTTTTTTTTAATAACTGGCTTTACGGCTCTGGGTTCTAGCCCTTCTGAGCCTGAAGTTACAATATATAACGGGTCTGATAAACGTTTTTTACTTTCCATGCTAAATAAATCTACAAAATAACACAAGAAAAACTGTCTTTTTACTTTTTTCATATCTTAAAATTGGCTGGAATATTAACGATCAAAGTGCGTGTTTCCGAGCGAAGATTTTTAAAAACGCGGGCCTGCGCTCACTAGCCGATGACGTCACACTCCCGCTCATACAACAATAATGCTCTCGTCTGCACGCGTAAAAATGGAAAAAAAAACTATATTGAGCCTCAGTGCTTTTTTACGTGGTAGAGCCATGCTGCAGCTATATTATGGTTGTAGCACGAATGGTTCGGCTCGACCGTGGAAGGACCACGCTCTCACAGAATACCAGCGTAAAATAGCAGCTTAACGCTGCTGTGTTTCGTATGGTGAGTGTAGAGAACCGGATACCCTTTTTACTGGAAACGAGGCATTCCATCTTTGTCCTCATGGGTGACAACGCATCTGCAGTTCGATTCTTAGTCGAAGATAGATATAGATATCTATGGGCTCGTTTGTCACCCTTATCCTATAAAAAAATTCAACAGTTAAACACCTGATAAACTCTTTTTTTATGTGGCCGAGGACCCAAAAATGAGGAAAAGTGGATGACAGCCGTTAAAATAGTCGACTCAATAGGCCCTAAAACTAAAGCGCACTGTTGTGAAGACCTAATAAGTAATAAGCTTATCCTTCTTCTCTACCTATCCTTGCCCTACTAAACATATCTACTTGTCTACTTTGACTGTTTAGATAGATAGGTATCTTAATATATAACGATAGGTAACGAAACGAGACCCGCGTAATTTGGTCAAACCGCACCGGACCGAGCGCCGCATTTGTGTCGCGGTCGCGGTCTGCGGGGGTGTGACGTCATAGAGTGAGCGCGCGTAATCTCTGAAATTCAAAAGAGGGTTTAAACTTCTCGTTGTTATAACTTCGGAAATACTGCATGTATTGAAGTGAAATAAAAACTAATGTAATGTACTTGATCTTTACTACGATTTTAATAGGATTTGGTAGTAATATTTTGACCCTCTTGTGTTCTCCATTATGCTTCATAGTACACTGCTTCGCAATATGTTGATACGTCACATTGTGCAGCCCTTGGGAAATTTCGACGGCAACTTGAGCCAGCAGACAGCTGACAGTTGGTGATGGTATCTCAAGATGCCTTAGCAGACAGACACCTTATTTTAAGAATCACATCATCATCAGAGCACTTGTTTCACAGTTTCCACTAATAGTTCACGTGCGCAGACACTTAATATACAAAATCGCACCACTTTTACATATCAAACTCCACATCAAACCATTATTTAAACAATAATACATGAGCAGCAAACCGCCGCCAGTCAAGTTCCCGCCAAAACCTTCAAGTGTCAATGTCAACTCCAGATCCACAGATTAATAAATATGTAGTCAACTCAATAACCAATGGCCCATAAAGCCCGCTTTTCTCTATGGGATATAATGTAATATATATAATAGTCTTTGCGTTATAGCATGGTGCGGGTGACAGCTTACACTTTTGGAGTGTCTAGAGATGGCACATTGTTAAATCGATTTAAAAAACGCGATTGACGATACACAAAGCAAAGCAAAAATTATCGATTAGCTATCCATATAAACATATATTTCTTTATAAACTACAATGCATGCAAAATTAAGTTAAAGTTTAATACAAATTATGACATAATAGTTACATAATAGCTGTTCCCGGACCTCGCCCGCTTGGTATTTATTACGATAGGATTTCATGGGTTTTAATTTCATTGCGCGGAATCCAAATTTTTTTCTAAAATAAAATTAGTCTGTGTTACTTCTTATAACATCAGCAATCAGTCAGTGCCAGTTATAAGCCGAAACAAACAGACAGTAAGACAAACATTTTAAAAATTGTTTTTGTCTTTTTGTTATAAATACCGTATACAATTTCATATGTTTTTAGTCATCATTATCATCATCAATACAGCCTTTCATAAGTCCACTGCTGAACATAGGCCTCCCCCAAGGAATGCCACAAAGCATGGTTCTGAGCCACCTGCATCCATCGACTTCCTGCATGTCTTACCAGGTCGTCACTCCATCTCGTGGGGTGTCGCCCTACCCTTCGCCTACCGGTAAGAGGCTGCCACTCAAGAACCTTTCTTCCCCATCGGTTGTCGGTTCTTCGAGCTATATGGCCGGCCCACTGCCACTTCAGCTTACTAATCCGTTGGGCTATGTCGGTCACTCTGGTTCTACTGTGGATATCCTCATTTCTAAGTTTATCACGCAGAGAAACTCCGAGCATAGCCCTCTCCATAGCTCGCTGAGCGACCTTGAGCTTCCTCATACGGCCAGCAGTGTTTTTAGTAAAAGGCTGTAAAGGCTGCTCTCAAAGTAGTGAAATTCAGTAGACATTAGTAATTGTAATATTATATAATTATATAAGAATTTTAGTAATATAGATATATAATAGTAACAAATTATAGTAGGAATTATAAGTGATATTCATTATTTACGATAGCATTTTTAATCTAGTTAGTATTAATATATTTTAACTATGAAACTTTGTTCCTTTAATTGTCAATCAGTCAGGCGTAGTGTTGAACAAGTACGGGAATTATGTAATGACTTTGATATAATAGCATTGCAGGAAACCTGGTTATTACCCGATGCTATTCCTTACTTAAACACTATACATACCAAATTTTCTAGTCATGGTATTTCAGCTGTAGATGTCACAGAAGGTATGTTACGGGGTAGGCCCTATGGAGGGGTTGGGTTATTGTGGAGATCATCGATGTTTCATAAAGTGGAGATTGTTGATTGTAACAATTCTAGTTTATGTGCAGTTATTTTCTAAATGTGTGGTAATAAATATTTATGTGTATCTGTGTATATGCCTCAAAATAATTATGAAAATTTAACTGATTTCACGAATATTTTAAGTATTATTCAATCAATTATCTTAGATAAGGATATTAATTATGCTTTTATTTTAGGTGATTTTAACGCAGATGTGAATACATTATTTGGTTTAGAGTTATTTAATTTTTGTACAGATAATGATTTGGTGTGTGCTGATTATGAATATCTGCGACCCAAAAGTGGTATCTTTACGTATATTAGCTATGCTCATGGTTCGAAAAGTTGTTTGGATCATTGTGTGTGTAACTACACGGCAGGCATGGGATACTGTAACCAACGTTTATGTTTTGGAAGACGTCATGTGGTCCGACCATAAGCCTTTGTGTGTTGAATGCAACATTAATTTGATCTTTAAGGCGGTGCATAATAACGTTCCTTTACCGAAATGTAACGATTTGTCAAAATGGTGTAAAAGAAATGGTCTCGAAATTGAATTTTATTCCTCTCTTTGTTCTGAGTATATACGTAACTTGGATTGGGAGAGGTTAAGGCATTTATCTGCTAAGTGTTATAGTTGTACATGTACTGAACATCGCAAATACCTAGATAGCTTGTATAACTCTTTTATTAGTTGTATAATTCACGCGGCCACACGTCGCGCGTCTCAGCATGTCTTCCAGAGGCCCCCTGTTCCGGGGTGGAATGAGTATGTACGCGAGGCACACATAAAGGCACGGCAAGCTCGAGCTGGGTGGTTAACGGATGGGGCGCCTTCTACTGGTCCGCTGTTCGATCAAATGAAAAGAAAGCGAACTATTTTTAAAAGTAGATTAAGATTTTACCACAATTCCGCTGATCAAATAATCTTAGATAAGATTTCGGCATCTTGTTTAAGTAGAAACTTTAGTCAATTTTGGAAAGATACGGGAAATTTACTTAAGACCGGGTCTAACATTACGGAGTGTGTGGATGGCCTGACGGACACACTGGCGATTGCAAACTTGTTTAGGGACAAATTTCTTGCGTTAAGTGCAGGACACTGTACTTCTCATAATCAATATCTTGTAGCAGATAGCAAGGACAATCATGTATCTGAAGAGATGATCTTTAATGCTCTGCGCCAGATGAAACTAGGAAAGGCAATAGGATATGACAATATAAGCGTGGAACATCTTCGGTTTGGAGGACCATGGGTAATTGCGTTCCTATCTGTATTTTTCAATGCTTGTATAAAGCATGCTTACTTACCGGTAGAAATGCTAAAAACGGTAAAAGTCCTGTTCTTAAATGTAAATTGAGTAGTTTGACCGACAGTGGTAATTATAGACCGATATCCATAGCTACAACTTGTGCTAAACTGTTTGACACCATATTATTAGGCGTTATTTCCAAATATATTCAAATTAGCGATGCTCTATTTGGATTTAAAAAAAGATAGTTCTACGGATGCGGCGATTTTTACTTTAAAGCAAACCGTTAGTTATTATAATAAGCGGAAAACAAATATTTATGCATGTTTCTTGGACTTAAGTAAGGCTTTTGACAGAGTCAGTTATGATATACTTTGGAGGAAGTTACGTGATGCGGGAGTGCCGTCATTATGTATTAACATATTGATCGCATGGTATAGTAGGCAAATTAATGTAGTAAAGTGGTGTGATACATACTCTGAGGAATTTCTCCTACAATGCGGTGGCTAACATCGCCTATGCTTTTTAATCTGCATATTAATCAGCTGATCGAGGAGCTTAGAAGCACCAGACTGGGTTGCCACATTGGTTCTAAATGCTTTAATAACTTGAGTTATGCTGATGATATGGTGCTGCTGAGTCCCTCGATTGGTGCACTGCGTGCACTACTCCAGATATGTGAGAAATATGCAA